ATAAAAAGTCAGAAATAGACTGAGGGTCGGCCCGAGTGGGTTCAGAGTAAAGTTTAGCTAGTCGGTGCCGGAACTCTTCTAAAACCGCTACAGGGTTGCTCGTAAGGGTATTGTGACGAGTACGTAAAGATATCGGTTTAGGATGCTGCGCAAAAGAACGCAATCTACGGGCCAACATAGAGTCTGGTTTGTTTGCTTTGCTATACCACTTCTGGCGAGTCCATCGTAAAGAGCGCTCAGCCTCATCCGTTAAGCAAAGATCCAATTCTAAACGAGCCTGATCCAACAGTCTACGGTTCGACGGGGAAGGTGATTGTTTAAATTGGGCCGACGCAGAAGCTAACTTCGATTCCAACTGACACTGTTTAGACTGTCTTTCCTTCTTTCGCCTTGAAGCTATTTGGATAATATGTCCCCTAAGAACCGCCTTGTACACTTCCCACAATGTTACTGAAGAAGAGACAGAACCCAAGTTCAATTGGAAATATTCCTGAGACTTACGATGTAGTTCCGCCTGGATCTCCTTTAACGAAAGCAAGGAGTCATTCATTATCCACGAAGAGGAGGCCGGCCTACATAGGAGAGATCGACAGACCACCAAGATAGGCTCATGATCTGACCATGGGACCGTTAAGATAGAAATAGAGCGAACTAAAGGGAGGTGTTTACGTGAAACGAAGGCATGATCAATTCTGGAATGCGAATGATGAGGATGTGAATAATGAGTGTAGTCTTTCCCCCGAGGATGAAATTCACGCCATAAATCTACCAGATCATGAGAATTTAACGTACGTGCAAAGGACTTCGCTGATGCGGAAGGGCCAGAGCACTCCGCTGGATATTTATCCAATGCAGGATTTAGCACTAAGTTTGAATCCCCTGCCATCAAAAGCGTACCCCTTTGATGTGTAGCCAGGAGAGAACATAGGTGCGACAGAAAAGGTCCAGGATTAACGTTGGGAGCGTAGTAGGACATTATGGTAACATCTATGCCATGGATCGTGCCCTGGAGCAGGAGGTATCTGCCATTGGGATCAGAAATACGCCTCACACAGACGAATGGAGTTTTACTATGGAAGGCGACCAATACGCCTCTCTGTTTAGTGGGACCAGTAGCTTGAAATATCGGAGGGTAACGTGCATCAAAATATTTTGGGGCACAGGTAGTGGAGAAGTGAGTTTCTTGCAAGCAAGCAATATCAACTCGGCGAGCCCGGAGAAACTTAAATATCTTTACCCGTTTCTGCGGAGAGTTCATCCCCTGGACATTCAGTGATAACCAGTTCAACGACATGGTGATCTAAAAAAAGGAAGATTAAATCCGCCGCGATCCCCGGGAGCCCTGGAAAAAAATTTATAAAAACACACATAACAAACGACAAGGAGAAAGAGACGAAAAAGAAAAGAGAAAACCAGAAGACATCTTATATACAAGCAAGATATCTGTGAAACATTAATATCAATTCAAACAATATAGTAATCAACTGTGGGTAAGACCATACCGCTAGCCAGCTCGATGGGGGACACGACCATCCACCGGAACAACTCGGCATTAATACAAAATATAAAAATATTATACATACAACTAAGGCTAATACACCTGTGAATAAGTAATCTGAAACTCGCAGGACAATAGAAATCTCAACCAATCAGTGCGGAGAAAAGAAACATCCGCTCTAGATTGGAAGAGATAAACCACACGGAGGCATGAAATCCCTGAACAAATCTAGAGTCAAATCTAGAAAGTGGCAGCCAAAAATCCACATGGAACAAAGCTACCTACTGGCGGCCTGCCTCTAAACATCATGTCGCGGAGACTTCCTGAAAACGCTGAGCCTGTAGGGATCTGAGAGCCTGGGAACTACTTTGACTAGGAGGAGATTTACGCGAAGGCTGGGAATTGTGAAGACGCGTAGGGATTGATGTCTCCTCTGGGATTGTGGCAGTTCCAGGTTGAGCTCCCGAAAGTGACGCCGAAGATCCGCTGGCGAAGAGGCCTGGAATTGACGACCTTGAAAGGAGAACGAAAGCTTGAAAGGGAAGCCCCATCTGTACTTGATATCAGCCGATTGAAGAACTTGAAGATAAGGTCTTAGGGTACGACGTTTGGCAATTGTGACTGGGGACAAATCCGCGAACAGATGTACAGAGTGACCTTGAAATTCCAGAGCTGAGCGGTTCCGAGCCGCCTGCAGTAGACGTTCTTTAGTACGATAAAAGTGGAATTTAATAATAATGTCTCTGGGAGGACCTTCCGTGGGCTTGGGTGCTAGAGTTCTATGGATACGGTCAAACTCCAGACGTTCTATGGGAATCTCAGGGGCCAACTCCTGGAAAAGAGCAGTAGCAGTGCCCTGCAAATCGGTGAGTGCCTCGGGGATTCCGCGGATGCGGAGATTATCCCTGCGTGCTCTATTCTCAGCATCCTCCAACTTATCTTTTAAAGTGTCCAGCTCGGCATGTAGATCCTCCACTTCCTGTTCATGACCCTCCAAAACTGTAGTCGCCAGATCCATACGTTGCTCTAATTGGTGGGCGCGAAGGCCCAGCTCCTTTAGGCCTCTCGCCAGATCAGAAGATAATTTACGTGAGGCAGCTGTAATCTCCTCTCGCACTATAGCACGGAATTTGTGTAGCAAGGCTTCGGGATTGTGTTCAAGAGAATCAGCCATCCCCGATGGAAATTGCTGCTGACTATCGCCATCAGACTCAGGGTCACCTGGAAGCTGGGTGTTGTCATCAGGCTCAGGCGGGTTAGGTATCAGCTTAGCGATATGGCCCTGCGGAGGGGATTGCTGACGGGCCCGATGTTTAGGTTTAGTGCGGTGCATTGCCGGGGGTGGTCCACAGGATTCCAAAACCCCCTAAGACTATTGAGGTGATACGCTAGGGTGTAAAAGCCCAGTAGCCGAGAGAAATGTTTCGGTGGCACGGCACAGGAAGGTCACTCTGGCGTTTTCCTCCTGGCTCGTGTACGTGTCCCCCACCGGGGAGGCGGTCACAGAAGGCTCAACATAACGCTGCGGCCAGTGAAATGTAGATGGTTATGGTTATGGTAACTTGGCAGGCTGCGTATAGGCTTCCAAAATATGTCCCAGACACCCCTGATGTATCCACTCGAGGAAGGGGGTCATTAGAAAATTCCCTCCCCCATCCAGCACTACCTCTGCATCCACACTGATCTCCAGCAGCTCACAGGGGTCCTGCAGGGATGTGCTGTAAGCCACAGTGCCACCAGGAGGATCAAAGGAGCCCACCCAGCCTGTCCCCGCAGCTGACCTGTCCAGAGCCGGCCGAGCAGGGCGGTGGTGCGGCGATGCAGCGATCCGGCCGCGGCGGCGATCCGCTCCGGCCGCGGATTCAGGATACACCGCGGCTTCACACGCCGCGGTAGGCCTCAGAGCATCCCGCGCCCCAGATGCTCAGAGAAGGGGCAGAGTAGCTCGACGCCCCTCTCCGAGTGTCAGGAAAGGTCTAGGCAGCCGGGGATCTGCTCTGGACGGCCGCCGTTCCCTGGATGGCAGCGGATGGGAGATCAGGGTGCCGGAGCTCAGGGAAACACAACCTCTCTCGGCGCCATCTTGGACACACCCCATGTTCCTATTTTTTTAATAAGTGGGTGTTTAGCAGTGAAAGAACTCCCTGGTGGTATTGCCTATTTCTGTAATAAAATTGGTAGTTACAAAATGTTGCAAGTAGTCTGTGATCCTGTCTATTAAAGACTGTATAATGAAAGGTAACCAGTTTAGAAAACTTAGATAAACATTGGAAAAACAGGCATAAAGTTGGAAATATAGTTTGACAACGCTGGATTGTATTCTCTGACATTTACTAAAATGTAAATACAAGTAGACAGCTGAATAAATCATGGGCTCAACATGTATAATGCTAATCTATGCAGAACTCCAGCTTGAGGAGTAAATGTGACCACCCCACTCCAGGTTGTCTTTTTTTTTTTTTTTTTTAACCCTATACTTCCCTTTTTCCTGCCATCTTCTAGCCGGTCCAATGATGTCACTGTTACTTCCCCTTCTTTCTCTGTGGTGTCAAGGGAGGGTGAGTATTGTTGCTGGACTGAGTGGCAACTTACATAATGATGTGTGAGTGCCGCTCAGTCCTGGAGTATGATGAGCCCAGCCTGCGTGATGACTCAACACCAAGGCTGGGCTTACTGGAAATGGGTAGAATGACTGTCACTGTCAAGCTACCTGAAGAGGACTGATGGCAATGGACTTAGGATGAAGCTGGAGAGGGTAAGTACAACTTGGGCTCCTTTTTTAATCGGGATGGGGGGGACCCAAAAACTAGTACAAAATTGAGTTTGGAGTTCCACTTTAATGCAAACTTGTGTTGCCATTTAACAGTGACACCAGGACAGTAAGTGATGGGAAATCTTTCTAATCAAACCCCAGATGACTGTAAAAACTGAGCAGCAGTTCAAACATTCCCTATTCCATCAGAAAAATGCTGGACATTTATTTTGTAATTTCAGAACAAACTTTTTTTTTTTTTTTTAATGTACTGGTCAATGTTACTCGAATCTAACCTCTTGTTGTCTGATTTCTATTTACTTTCTGTCTCAGTGACCTTGAGTGATGTGAGGACAGAGTGTGTAAATCTTCACAGAAATGTAAAACTTTCACCATGTTACTAGAAAAAAAATATATAACTACAAATTCACATTGTACAGTGATATCCACTTCAGAATCAAAGGCATTGTCAGCAAGATTTATATCTATTGCTATCAAAAATATTGCTAACATTCATATAACTCCAAAACCACCTGAAACCCAGTAATAATATGTACACACGTAGTTATTGATGTGCACACCATTTGAACACCTTTGTAACCTTTTTTATGAGTTTATGTACTTAATACTTAGCTGAGTGAAAAACTATGTGTGTACTGATGGATGGGCAAATCTAACCAACACTGCTGCACAAGAATGAAAATTGCATTTTGTTTCTCATAACTGAGTTTGTCATATATTGCTTTTCTTCTGCAGTTGGAGAGACAAATCCTGATGCAGAATCAGATGCGGGAGAAGCAGATGGCTATGCAGATTGCCTGGAGTCGGGAGTTTCTGAAATATTATGGGACTTTTTTAGGATTTGCAGCACTTGGATTGACAGCAGGGTTTGTACATTTTATATTACATGTTAAATCAGCTGTAAGAAACAACTGTCATCTTAACACCTTCTCAAACGGCCTATTGCAGATTGACGGCCGGGTGGGACAATTGTGGTTGTGACTGGGCGTCATATGATGTCCTGTCAAAAGAAGCCGTTCACGGGGCCACGCAGCGATGCGATCTGTTATCGGCTATGTCCATGGGACACAGCCGATGACATATCACTACACCGGCCCGTTGCCAGTGCCATGTGACCGCTGTGACCAATCACAGCAGATCACATGTCAATTGTATACTATGGATGGCTTCCTGTCATGCCATTCATTGTATACAATTGTGTTGTTAGCTGTGATTGATCAAAGCAGTCACTTGGTACAGACAGGGCCAATCACAGCCCATCTGTATCATGTGATCAGCTTTGCCCAATCACAGCTAATCACAGCAAAAGACTGAATTAATCAGTTTCACTCAGTAACAATGATTGCAAATATCAATGAAATACATTGGTATTAGCAATCATAACGTGTAAAAAAAAAAAAAAAAAAAATTCTCATCACTTTCCCAGAGTAGTTCAATTTTACTATGGTAACATTGTATTGCTTTGGCCACAGTGCGTTGAAAAAAAAATAGTAAAAAAAAAGAAAAAATAATGTAATAAAAAATACAAAAATAATAGAAAGATTTGAAAAAAAAAATTAAATTATTTTAATAATTAAATTATTTTCACATACTGTCACCAGTTATATAATCACGCTGTACTGGCCTGGTGACAAAATGTGAACAGAACAGTACAAATACCCCCCAAATGACCCTTTTTGGAATTAGACACTACAAGGTATTTAGTAAAAAGCAAGGAGAGTTGTAATTTTTCATCACAATATTTTGGAAAATTAGGAATTAAATAAAATGTTTTTTTTGGGTTTTTTTTTTTTTTTTACGTACTGTAACCAATGCAGTACAGTGTCATCATATGACTAGTGTAGCACTGATCAAGGATACTGACTGGTGACAGTATGTAAAAAAAAAAAATAAACATATTATTATGCTGTGTGTGTGTGTATATATATATATATATATATATTTTTTTTTTTTTTTTTTTCCCCCTTCATTCATTTATTTATTTATTACAATGTTTTTACATACTGTCATCAGAATAGTTCAGTTTCACCATAGTGACACTATACTACTCTTAGGAGGGGGGTGATCAGGGTTTTTGTATTTTTTTTGTTTTTTTATTTACACCATGGTGCCTTGTTACAGTGATGATCACTGTAACAGCAATTGTTTGAAATATCATTAATGGCTTTCATTCATGACTCATTCTGATGCTGTGATTGGCCTCCAGCTATTACGTGGTACAGGGTGCTGTGATTGGCTCAGGTACCAAGTGATAGCTGTGGGCCAATTGCAGTATCACAATAGTAAGCAAGCTGTCATGAATGAAACAAAAAAAAAAATCCTGATCACCTCCCCAGAATAGTACAGTGTCTCTATGGTAACACTGCACTGCTCTGGTCACAGTATGTAAAACAAATAGTTTTTTTTACATGCTGTCACCAGTCAGTATCTCTAATCACCGCAACACCAGTCATATGGTGATGCCATACTGCACAGTATGTAAAAAAAAAAAGACCCAATTGTTTTAAATTTCTTCATTTTCCAAAAAATTGTGAGAAAAAATTACAACTTAAAAAAACTCACCATGCCTCTTACTAAATGCCTTAGACTGTATACATTCCAAAAAGGGTCATTTGGGGGGTATTTGTACTGTCCTGGCATTTCAGGTTCTTAAGAAATGAAAACATTTTCAAATATACAGTTGTGTTCAAAATAATAGCAGTGTGTTGAAAAAAGTGAATAAAGCTCAAAATCCTTCTAATAGCTTTTATTTCCATACACACAAATGCATTGGAAACACAACACATTCTATTCCAAATCAAAACATGAAGAAAAATATATCAAATTTGTGTTGAAAAAAAAGTGAATATTAGATTGTTCAAAAAAATAGCAGTGTTTGTATTCTTCTTTACAAACTCAAACATTCACTATATAAACTGAAAAATGTTTGAAGATTTTGCTTTCCTTTGAATCACTTAATGAATATTTAGTTGTATAAGCACTGTTTCTGAGAACTGCTGTACATCTGTGTTGCATGGAGTCAACCAACTTCTGGCACCTGTGAACAGGTATTCCAGCCCAGGATGATTGGACTACATTCCACAGTTCTTCTCTATTTCTTGGTTTTGCCTCAGAAACTGCATTTTGATGTCACCCCACATGTTTTCTATTGGATTAAGATGCGGGATTGGGCTGGCCACTCCATAACGTCAATCTTGTTGGTCTGAAACCAAGATGTTGCACGTTTACTGATGTGTTTGGGGTCATTGTCTTGTTGGAACACCCATTTCAAGGGCATTTCCTCTTCAGCATAAGGCAGAATGACCTCTTCAAGTATTCTGATGTATTCAAACTGATCCATGATCCTTGGTATGCGATAAATAGGCCCAACACCGTAGTATGAGAAACATCCCCATATCATGATGCTTCCGCAACCATGCTTCACTGTCTTCACAGTGTACTGTGGCTTGAATTCAGTGTTTGGGGGTCGTCTGACAAACTGTCTCCGACCACTAGACCCAAAAAGAACAATCTTACTTTCATCAGTCCACAAAATATTGCGTCATTTCTCTTTAGGCCAGTCAATGTGCTCTTTGGCAAATCGTAACCTCTTCAGCACGTCTTTTTTTCAACAGTGGGACTTTGCGGGGGCTTCTTGCAGATAGCTTGGCTTCACATAGGCGTCTTCTAATTGTAACAGTACTCACAGGTAACTTTAGACCTTCTTTGATCTTCCTGGAGCTGATTGTTGGCCGAGTCTTTGCATTTTGGCTATTCTTCTATCCATTCGAATGGTAGTTTTTAGCTTTCTTCCACGTCTTTCAGGTTTTGGTTGCCATTTTAAAGCATTTCAATCATTTTAGCTGAGCAGCCTATCATTTTCTGCACTTCTTTATATGTTTTTCCCCTCTCCAATCAACTTTTTAATCAAGGTACACTGTTCTTCTGAACAATGTCTGGAACAACCCATTTTCCTCAATTTAAGAGAGAAATGCACTGTAACCAGCATGTACAACATTTGCTGCCTTCCTTCCTTAAATAAGGGCAATAATTGCCACCTGTTTTTCAAAGAATGAATGACCTCACTAATAGAACTCCACACTGCTATTATTTTGAACATGCCCCTTTCAATTAGTGATTCAATTACACAGAATTAGCAGCATGCATGTCATGACTGTTGGATCTGTTGGATTTCTATTACTCTACTACACCTGCTAGTAAATTATTTGCCATGTAGAAATATCATTTCTACCAAAAACAGTGATTGATCAGGTTAGTGATGTCTGACTGCTATTATTTTGAACAAAACTGTATATACACCATAGTTAGTAGATTCTATAATTTTCACACAGACTAAATAATATACACTGATTTACATAGTTAGTCTGGCTGAAAAAAGACAAAAGTCCATCTAGTTCAACCATAAAAAAAAACTTATAATTCTATACCCCAGTTGATCCAGAGGAAGGCAAAAAAAAACAGCAAAGCATGGTGCAATTTGCTCCTGCAGGGGAAAAAATTCCTTTCTGATCCCCTGGATCAACTTTACCAAGTAGGGTAAAACTAACCTGTCTCATGACGATTTGGGCTAAGAAATGTAGCAGAATACATTCTGCCCTAAATTTATAAAGAAAGATTATTTGCAAAATTTTATAACGGAAACAAAGAAAAAAGTGTTTTTTTTTTCAAACTTTTTGGTATTTTTTTATTTTTCTATAGCAAAAAAAAAAAAAAAAAAAAAACCCATGGGTGGTTAAATATCAACCAAAGAAAGCACTATCTGTCTAAAAATTTTCATTTGGGTACAGTGTTGCATGACTGAGTAATTGGCCTTCAAAGTGTGGCCTGCACAGGAACGGTGTGAAAGTGTCCGGTATTGAAGTAGTTAAAAAAAGCTATAACAGGACAAATTTTTTAGAGCTCCAGTGCTGCTTATCACTGGAAGTGTTCAAGGTAGAGGCATGGAGATGAAATGTTTCCTTTAGCAGGGATATGATAATTCCATTATAAGAAAGGCATATGATTCTGCTAAGCACTAGGAGGATCTTCTAGAAAATCACCTAATTAGAGGTAACGGGATGTGGTAAGAGTAATTGCCAATCAGTTTGTTTTAAGCTCACTATAGCTCCAAGTTTAATGAGGTTAAAAACTTGTATTACCTAGTTTACAAAATAATGCAGAGTTAAAAAAAAGATATTGCTTTCAGGAGTTTCTATTTCTGTTGCATTGTCTTGAAGCTCTCTGATACAGACATGCAGTTGCTAGAAAATGCAATACAAAGGCAGTAAGAAGAATTTTTTTTTTTAATTTGAAAAACACAGATGAGAATTATGTTATTATAGATCATGGCACAGAGTACATTTTGCTCTTTTGGAATGTGGCGTTAGGGCATATTCACACTTATGCACTGCGGTAATGTGTGTTAAGACAAGTGTTGTAATGCACATTTCTGCAAAGCTTACTAATGTCCAAGTGTTTGAGAGTTACAGTGCCGTTCTGAATGACTCCTCAACACACACATACAATAAAAATGAAAGCATTTAAGCTATAACACATTACAACAAACAAAAGTAAATACGTTGGTGATTTGGGGGCTGCTACATTGTCAAAAATAGAGCAGTTTTCTGCATAAGACATCTTGAGAGCCCATTCATCAAACTACCACTTTGCTTATGTCAGTTTGACGTATAAAAGGCTCCGAATGAGCATATGATCTGCTGGTGATATTTTTCAATTTGTACATTTTTGGGTAATAGCAAACTTATAGAAATTACTTAAAGTGGAATTTTACCCATAACAGCTTCATAAAAAAATAATGTTCTTTAGCAAGGAACTTACATTCCACATTCAAATTATGCTACTAAAATGTGTGAGTGCTGTAAATTGC